TGAGAAAGACCTGTTTAGCAACAGTCCAACACAGTCGTATCTGAGAAAGACCAAGTCGATGCCCACTACCCATACTTCGCCTGGCTCCTCCTCCTAACTCCTACGCCTCCTCCCTCCCCCCACCTGGAACCCACAATCAGCCACCATGGTCACTTCAGCCAAACTTAAAGGTAAGTTTGCTTTATGTCACTTTAATATGTAATAAAGCCACCTCTAATTTACTGTTATATAGTGATGCTTCTAACTTTGTTATTGTTGAAGTACTTAATATTTAATTCAATTTGGTCTTGTTGGTTTTGTATGTTAATTGTAATATGTAATATACTAAGCTGCAGTACAATACACTAAGCTGCAGTACAATACAGTATGGAGTACTACAATACACTAAGATGTAGTACAATACAAGATGTGGCGGTGCAATTTTAAGATGGTGCAGTACACGCCTATCTCATTTACAAATAAAATACAGCATCATGATTTTATACAATATACAATACAATATAATACAGTAGAATATAATGACGCGCAAGATAAACGTTACTTATTGCTAAGTCTCAAGGCAACAAATGCCCTTCTTCCCCCGGGAGCATAATTATCATGAAGAAAAGGTGGGCCTCCAGGTGTTAAGAAAAGGTGGGACAGATGAAAATGACATGGGGGAGTCTCTATAAATGCTAACATTTCTAAAAGTTTTTACTTTAGTTCAACTCAGACCAGCCTATGTCCGTCCGGTACCCTAGACCATTCCCCCTGCAAAGTTGGATGAAGCTAGTCCCAAGCATCTCACTTCTAACCTTGAACAAACAGATAGTCTCTCTTATAGGTGATTGTAACGTTAAATTGCCTCGCTACCTCGGATATTAACCATCTAAACTCTAGCCTAAATAATGAATGTTCGAAGGGGGAGAGGGGTAATGTTCGGATCAACGGAGAGGGAATAATGGAGGAATGTTCGGATTATGTCGGGGGCCGGAAGAACGCCGCATGTGGTTCCTTTGTTTTATACGCATTGTGGCCGACGGCATTACTCTCCGCCAGCTGATGGAGTCACGTGGCTTATTTGTTTACGTCTTAGCCAGCTGACGGAGTCACGTGGCTTATTTGTTTACGTCTCTTCCAGCTGATGCAGTCACGTGGCTTATTTGTTTACGTCTCTTCCAGCTGATGAAGTCACGTGGCTTATTTGTTTACGTCTCTTCCAGCTGATGGACACGTGGCCTATTTGTTTACATCTATCTGGTGACGAGGCCACGCGATTTATTTACTTACATCTGTCAGCTGTTGGAGCCACGTGGTTTATTTGTTTACATCTGGTGTTGATGTAAACAAATAAACACAGGTGTTGACACACAGGTGGGACGTCAACACCCGCGACTCTGCCGCTTGCTCTGGTAGTGTCTGTTCCTCTTTCTCTTCTCAGTCTTCCTTATTCACTTCCCCTTTTTTCTTACCAACTGAATGTCCTTTTCTGTCTCACGATCTGTCCCGGCAGCATCCGCTGCTCTTTATCCCACCGAGTGTCTCCCTGGCAGCATCCCTGGAAGATGAAGGCTCCAGATGCTGGGGAGAGAGGAAGGAGTCCAGGAGATGCTGGGGAGAGGAAGGAGTCCAGGAGATGCTGGGGAGAGGAAGGAGTCCAGGAGATGCTGGGGAGAGGAAGGAGTCCAGGAGATGCTGGGGAGAGGAAGGAGTCCTCCAGCTATGCGCTGCTGGATGGGCGACGGGGACGGTTGTGCAAATTGATTCATCTCATTGTTTGTTCTGGCTATTGTTGGAACTGTGGGGTGGGGGGGGGGGGGGGGAATGGATGGTGCAACAGGAGATGGGATGGAGAGAGAAGGAAAGGGGGGAGATGGTGATGGTAGTGATGCAAGCTTCGCAAGCGGATTATTACACATCCTCATTACTCACTCTCATTATGTACGCTCCCTCATTACTCAGCGACAGTTAAAAAAGGCGGGGCCCAAGAGCTAACAGCGTGATCCTGCTGCTGGCACAAAGCTTTAACAGAAATAGTTTGGAAGATATACTGTTATATCAGAAGATATAACGGAAATAGTATAGTACGTTCACAGGTGCCATCGAGCATCGAACTCGGGGACCCACGCCGCAAGGCCAGGCCGTCGCTCTACCAACCAGGCCACGCAGGTGGAGCCAGTTAGACCAGACTATCCAGCCAGGTGTCAGCCGTGAACTAGGTGTGGGGTCAGGGGTTGGGGGACCTGGGGTCAGGGGTTGGGGGACCCCCCCATTTAGGGTCAAAGGTCATTCATCTTCCCCCCCTCCCTCCCCCATCCCCCCCTCCTCTCTACCCCGGGCGACCTCGACTTCTCGCCCATCTGAACCTACAGAGGGTGAGGGTTATTAGTTCCGGGATTGCGTCATAGCGTTTGGGCACTGGGGGAACAGGTGGATAGACCTGCAGCCTCTTGTATGTATTAACATTGTATTGTGTTGTATTGTATTGTATCTACACTCAATACATCCTCAGTGGGTCATACACAGAGTGTATGACCCACTCAGCCACAGAGCCACTGTGGCTCTGTGGCTTGTCCAACCCACTGTGGGTCTCTGTGGCTTGTCCAACCATTTGGGCTGGACGGTAGAGCGACGGTCTCGCTTCATGCAGGTCGGCGTTCAATCCCCCGACCGTCCAGTAAGTGGCTGGACACCATTCCTTCCCCCCCTCTGCGATGGCTGTTGTTTGTTTCCGATTCACAATCGGGAATTCCGGGTTCGAATCCCGGGCGGGGATAGAAATTTGTTAAGTGAGTTTCCTATCATCTAATGCCTCTGTTCACCTAGCAGCGAATAGGTACCTGGGAGTTAGTCAGCTTGTTTAGGGGTTGAATCCTGGGAGGGGGGGGGGTAGTATACTTCAACATTAAGGAAGAGACCTCGGTATAACCCTAACATGTATACATACACACTGTCTGCCTGTCCCCGACACAATTAATTATTATCATAATTAAGTCAAATACAAAAGAAGAGGGAGCAGCGACAATTAAAACAAAAAAACGGGGGTTTTATCGTTCATTTGCAGATGCGAGCGTTCACGTGTGCGCCTAGGTCTTTGAGTACAGTGCTACAATATGGAAGACACGAAGCAATTTTCGTAGTGGGACTGGCGGGATTCCGTTGAGCGGTCAACGGCTTTACTGGTCGCTTCTCGGCGGGGGGGGGGGGGCGGTGACAGTTAATTTTTAAATATTCAAATTAAATTGGTTGTGGTAATTGTCAGTTAATGACAAGTAGAGCGTCCACGGGAGGTGGGTATGAGAGGTGGAGGTGACTGGTTTCTTAAGAGACTGGGTAAGACTTTGGGAAATTTGAAATTTCCGGCTGGAACTGACTTGTACCGTTATTCCATGGAAGATTAAACTTTGTCTGCACACACACACACACACACACACACACACACACACACACACACACACACACACACACACACACTCTCTCTCTCTCTCTCTCTCTCTCTCTCTCTCTCTCTCTCTCTCTCTCTCTCTCTCTCTCTCTCTCTCTCTCTCTCTCTCTCTCTCTCTCTCTCTCATGCGGTAGGATGAGATAAATTCTGATACCGAAGACGTAAGAACTGGCCTTTAGAAACCTGTATAAGGAATCATTTGGAACCTTGTGCACCACGTATGTCAGACCAATCCTGGGGTATGCAGCTCCTGCGTGGAGTTCATGTCTAGTTGAGCTCAAGACGAAGTTCGAGAAGGTTCAAAGGTATACCGCCAGACTAGTACCCAAGCTGAGGGGTACGAGCTATGAGGAAAGATTTCGGGAATAAAACCTCACGTCGCTGGAAGTAAAGTTAGAGGAGACATGATCACCACATACAAGATTCTCAGAGGAATTGATAGGGTATATCAAGCGTCTATTTAATAAAGGTTGCACATGCACAAGGGGACACAGGTGGAAACTAAGGACCCGGATGAGTCAAAGAACTTTTTCAGTGTCAGAGTAGTTTACAGATCGAATGTATTAGGAAGTGATGTGGTGGAGGCTGACTCCATACACAGTTTCAAGTGTAGATATGATAGAGCCCAGTAGGCTCAGGAACCTGTACACCAGTTGACTGACAGTTGAGAGACGGGACCAAAGAGCCAGACCTCAACCCCCCGCAAGCGGAACTAGGTGAGTACAACTAGGTGAGTACACGCACGCCTCTTTAAACTAAGAGAAATCAGAACGTGAGAAGTGGAAACAGGAAAGAGGAACGAATGGAAGGAATGAAAGGAAATACTGGCACGCTGTATGGGTGGTCAAGAGGTGGAATGTGCTCAGATAAGAAGTTCTGGAAGCCACCTCCATCCACATCTTTGAAGTTCTGAAAGCCACCTCCATCCACATCTTTGAAGTTCTGAAAGCCACCTCCATCCACATCTTTGAAGTTCTGAAAGCCACCTCCATCCACATCTTTGAAGTTCTGAAAGCCACCTCCATCCACATCTTTGAAGTTCTGAAAGCCACCTCCATCCACATCTTTGAAGTTCTGAAAGCCACCTCCATCCACATCTTTGAAGTTCTGAAAGCCACCTCCATCCACATCTTTGAAGTTCTGAAAGCCACCTCCATCCACATCTTTGAAGTTCTGAAAGCCACCTCCATCCACATCTTTGAAGTTCTGAAAGCCACCTCCATCCACATCTTTGAAGTTCTGGAAGCCACCTCCATCCACATCTTTGAAGTTCTGAAAGCCACCTCCATCCACATCTTTGAAGTTCTGGAAGCCACCTCCATCCACATCTTTGAAGTTCTGAAAGCCACCTCCATCCACATCTTTGAAGTTCTGGAAGCCACCTCCATCCACATCTTTGAAGTTCTGAAAGCCACCTCCATCCACATCTTTGAAGTTCTGGAAGCCACCTCCATCCACATCTTTGAAGTTCTGGAAGCCACCTCCATCCACATCTTTGAAGTTCTGGAAGCCACCTCCATCTCACACACCACAGGGTGACTCCTTACTTTCCCTTTTGATTATATCGTCTTCTCATTTTTAGCGAAGAAGTTACTTTCCACAACTTCCACTAACTTTGCTCCCCATGTTGCTTCACTATCATGGGTGATGAATGTCGTGTCCTGCTTAATTCATCATGTACAGTTCCCACCATGGTTAGTAATTTTGTTGTTTGTCATCTGTTGTGATTCTTCATAGTTCATTTGT